TCCACATCAGACTTCCATATTAGCACTCGATGATTTGAACGGTGGTGAATGAGTAAATGGGGAATGAAGGAAGCGATAGAGTCTAGGTCTATTTTGATTTTCTCTTTGTTAATCAGGTCGTTGGGAGATGGTCGGCCAAATGACATATTTGTACATGTCCGTACTTTGCCCGAGTTTGGGTTGGTTGCCAGGCAGAGAGGCGAAACCTTCATGCCCGGCAAGAGAGTGTAGAATGGGGGGGAATATCTTCCTGCTTTGAGCTCTTTGTCCCTGGCCTGTTGCAGGGTTTTTTCCGCTTCAGGCCCAGACACATGGTTTTCGTGATAGGTAATGTCATCTGACGGTTTGGCTGAGAGAGGCCAGAAACCCTCCGACAACCCGAGCACAATTGAGTCGACGAAAGGTCTGTTGGGGTGATTTTTGAGTAGAAGGGAGAAATTTTTGATGTTTATTGGACAGGTGATTTTGAAAATGTCGGGTCTTCGTTTGATAGCGTAAGCGGCTAACGGATCAGATTCTATGGGAGGAGCTGCGGGAAGAGGCTCCGCGTGGAGAGAGGATTCGACTGAGGCTGAGTAGCCCTCAGATAACGCGTCGATTTCTAGTCCTCGAAGAAATCGACGACTGTTAGGCTCATTTGTGAGCGACGCCTCCTTGATGAGTGCCATCGCATCCAACTTTGTTGCACAGATTGTGTATTCTGTCGCACTCATCGTCTGCGTGGGGACAAACACCGAGATTCCAATTATTACAAATTTGATCAGCAATAGATACGCCCTTAGCTGGTTTGACGGTGTAGTTGGGTTTGTTGCGGCGACCTCTGGGCTTTTTTGGTTGAGCTGGGCGAGGTGCTTTGGTCGTATAAGGAGTTGATTGAGTTTCGGCCCGTGGTGGTAGAGGTGTTGGTATAGCTGCTCGGGCGGTTCGTGAAAGTCTGCTGGCTGCGCTGTAGAGCACCCGATTGTTGATGCCCCTGAGGCTTTCATGGGTATAGTCACCCCATACCAGCCATGGCCGAGAGGAGAACTCCTTGCGCATTTCGACGTCGAAGTCACGGACGTCTTCCCAATTGACCTTTGCTTGAAAAAGGCCAGGGAGACCAAAGATGTAGTCAAAGTACTTTTTGATAGATACTGCAGCGGGGGGGAATGCCGCGATGTAAGCATGGCGTGCCACGGCCATGAGATCCTTCCAGTGGTCACTGTTTGTGATCTCTTTGGGAGGAGCACCGTCGATGCTTTTGAGCTTCCCGACGTCATTGACTTTGAGAAATGATTCCGACGGCCCGTTGGACGAGACCTCTCCGTATAATTTTCGTAGGTCAACGAAATTATATTCCAGTAGGTCTTTGGTGAGGTTGTTGTGCCAATTGGCCGGCCGGTTACCGCAGGAATTGAACAGAGAGATGTACTTTTTAATATTTGATTTGTATCTGATAGCGATTTTTTGAATTTTCGAAGAAAGGGGGGTAAAAGCCTCAGGGGAGAGATGTTCGTTGTGAGCCAGAAATGGTATCTCATCATCGTCTTCCCCCTCGGACCCAGAGAAGGCTGGTGCCTCAGAGTCAGCTGGTGCTGGCGGAGGATTGAAGTCTCCATCCGACGAAGAATTGGACGAAGAAGACGTGGAGGGAGGAGACTCATGTCTTTTCCTTTTCTGCTCTTTGAAAATGGGTCGGGTCGGTTGTTTTTCGGCGACGTTGGTCGCCGGAATCGGGGCAATTCGATCAGCCAGGTTGCTGCTTGGCTGAGCGGTTGACAATTTGATGTTTGACCCGCTAGCTTCAGGTTCACGAGTTGCTGAGACTCGTAGAGCGAGAGGGAGTTGCCTCCTCGAGCCTCTTCTTCATGTTTGACGGATGAGGTTTGACGACGGTGTCTTCGTCGATTTTT